TCATTGTTGGTTAGTCACATGATGGACAGACCATATTTGGAAATATGTTCCGTTGAAGTTTGTTTACTGCTTTATACTTCTACTTAAGACATACCATTGATGTTCCATCACTTGATGTAGACAGCAATCTAGACTTGATGTATTTTCCTTGTCCCATATTGTAATTTTCTTAGCGAAAGATCCTTCCCCACTGTTCTTTTTCTCCTATAATCTCATAAATCACAATTAGTGCCTAGTTTCAGCAGTCCATAGAGTCACTAGTCCGATGATTGCATAATGGAACGTCGATTTATATCGACTTTGGCCATTGAGTCAGGACTAGAACTTCAAAAATTTGCTGAAATGGAGTGTCTTAAGTAGTCAATTTATCTGCTCTGTTGATGCTAGCAATGCTGGTATAAATTGGAGGTGAAAATGAACCTGATTCGATCTTCAAGAAGCGTTTGCTTAGTTAATTCTATATGCAGTCAATCTATGTATGCAAACAATTGTTTTATTTCTAAAATTATATACTCAAAGAAAATACTCATGGGAAGCCTCTGTTTGATACTAAATTTTGAAAAATAGAAAATAAAAGGTGAAATTACGAGTTTAGAAGTTTCTGAGTATCAATAAGCTTTTGAAGTGTTAATGTCATATCTAATAAGTTCCTAAATTTTAAAAGATTTCTTAAGAGGGAGGGGATTTGTTACACATAAAATTGAAAAGTTTATGTAGTTAATTGACACTTTTTAAAATTAATAAACTAAAATTATATCCTCGAAAGACAATTTAGTTGGCAAGGACTTAGGGTCGCTTGATCATATTAGTTAGTTAAGTATAGTTAAGTATAGCTCAATTGACTAAAACATATGTCATTGTTCAAAATTTCAAATGATTTTGATCAAAAAGTTTAAATCCATGTTGGTTGAACTTTAAAAAAATGATAAGATAAAGCAATTAGATAAAGCAATAAGTGGTGGGCGAGTAGGTGAATTAGTTGAGTTGGTGAGTCAAGAAAGAGTATCATTTTACTTTTTCTTTTTGTTTGACAATTTGGATTGTTGAAAATCCCACCTAACTATACATCAAAGAGATATATATTTTAAATAGCAATTTAGCTTTTAAACTGCGTTTGAAGTATCAGAATACAGTGTGAAGGAAAAAAAAAAGTAGATGAATTCACCATTTACCATATTATGTACAATTTACAAATCTTAATCTTTTATGCATCATCCAAACGTTGTTTTAGCCTCTAAAAACTCATTCCTGCACCAGCTGGGGTTTGACATCCATACCAAACATCAATCTTCTGAAACAAATTCTTTAAAAGGGCAACCATTTTAAAGATTCTAAGTTTTAACTGCAAGCCCTTGCATAGGCCACTGCCAACCAGAAGTCGACCACCGGGTTTGACAGGCATCTTCGACTCCATAGTCACCGTTCGACATGATTCAATCAGCTAGCAGGCAACAATTGCAAGTTCCAAGCAATGTAAATCTGGATTCCAGGCTTGTTATAAAACATCAAAATGTTGATTCACCACTAGATCATTAAGAAGATGAGAATGGTGTTGAATAAATGATTGGGAAATCATTCATTGTCAGGAAATAAAAATTGAGAGAATGAATTAGAATCTGCTAACAAATAAGTCAAACTGGATAGACAGGTGTGTGGCATTCCCAACCATGAAACTGTCTTTCACTCTCCATAGTCACACCTTGATGGTCACACTGCACAGGCACAAGCCAGATGGTTTTATGTCTGAAGTTTTCCATTCCGAGCCTGGAGCTGCATTTGGATCGTACAGCAAGGTACGGTATTCTGGTTCATTCTTTAATGAAAAGAGCAACAGCTTCCCATCCAGTATGCCAAATCGAAATCCGATGCTTGAGCTACCAGTTAATGGAACCGGTACCATCTTCCATGAATTGTCCTCTGGATTGAACATGGCTAGTTTCCTTTGGTTCTTCCATTCCATACAGAAAAGTTTCTTGCCTACCACAGCATGAGCAGTGACCATTACACAACCATTTTTCATCTCACACCAACTATGCCTCTTGGGGTTGTACACGTCCACGAACTTGGAATTTCCAATTGTGAAGCTTGACCTTCCACCCATGACGTACAGCTTCCCATCAAATCCACATGCAAAACAGCCCGACCGAGGGCGGCGGAGGCTTTCAATTAGAGTCCAGTTGTCAGTTTCAGGGTCGTAAACCTCAGCACTCGACAGATTATCACCTTCTGTCCCATAGCCTCCAACCACATAGACAATTCCATCAACAGTGGCACAAGCGAAATCGTATCGAGCTACATTCAGACTTGCCAGTTTGCTCCACCTGCAACACACGTCGGACAAAAGTCACAAAACTAGCAAAAGAATTAAAGGCAATCATAAAATATCCTGAACTTTAAATCATAGGACCCAAATCTAAATATAAGTAAAGATTCCATTGTATCAAATGACATTTTGGTTTCACATGCATAAGCAAAAATTCTAAATTGAACATCCCATTTATGTAGGATCTAGGAAGAACAGCCAAAATCTGGCAGCGCTCTCTTAACTGCTGCTTAAAATTCAAATTAAAATCACATATACAAAGTTGTAGGTTAAAGACCATAAAAACATTATCAGAAAAGTCCTAGCAGAAACCAATCTCATGCTCATCATGCAAACCTGTTGTTTTCAAACTCATGTAGTCACATTCGTATTTCAATGAGAGTAATAAGCATAGATGCTACTACTTGAAACAGATAATTCTTTAGTAACATGGACAACATACCTGTTAAGACAAGAATCATATTGATAAACATCTGATGAGACAGAATCAGTCCCATCGGCAACTGAATAACCAGCTATGACAAGAAGCTTTCCGCTCAGAACAACCACTTCAAAACCAGCCCTCACTGAACCAGGCATTGGTGGAAGAATTCGGAATTTATGTTCCACACAATCAAATACTTCCCAGTGGCACTCCTTACTTTCAGCATCCATAGTTAAAAAGTATAGCCACTCCTCAACTACACCAGCTAGTTTCCTCACAGTTATGAATTCCTTGCCTTTAATGAATGATCTCCAATTCTTGCAAACACCAGCCATAGATGGATGGCTAGAACGGGGAACAAGGGCAAGGCATAGTTTTGCTACATCATCAGGCAAGCCAGGAAGGAGAGAGTTGTCAGCCTCATAATCAAACTGAGGAGTAAAACCAGGATCACTTTTTGAATGACTAACTGAATTCTGTTTAATAGTGTTGATGATGCACATATTTGGTTCGGTAAACCTCTTCTTTCCAGAAATGAATCCAGGCATTATACAAATGAAGCAACCAAATAAATCATGTACAATGATGACTGTTTTTCTTCAACAGTATCACTCAAATATAACTTCTCAATGACCAACTTCGATTAAAGAAATTCATGATATACTTCACTAATTTGGATTCTACAAGACCAAGGCATAAAGGAAGTTGCAGAACGGATCACTTGGGCAGCAAATGCGGAGGACTTTCTGTGTCTTGTCCAGTCTGATTCAAAGTCCATACCAGAAAATTCACACTTATGTTTACTAGATATGACAGTATGAGTGATGTTCTGCAACTTTGTAGAGTTCTCTCTTCCTCTATGCATTGCCAAAATACCTGCACATTGTGTAGCATAAAGCTTAAACTTGGTTTTTGTGAAAACGGAAACTAATGAGCATATATGCACATCATAAGTACTGAAGAGGAAAGAAAAACATACCAGTCAATGCCATAGAACTTGCCAAGTTAGCCCCCCATAACTTCCATCCGGAAACAAAGGAAACTGAAATAAAGAATATCATAAATGAGTTGGGAAAACCAATCCCAAGACTACAAGCTTAACATCAAAAGGAAAACATGAATCGATTGACTATTATTCTGGGTTCACAGTTGACAAGAATAATAGAATCCAAATAAAAGATAACTAGATAAGACTTAAAAGGATACAAAACAATATAAAACCAAAACCGGTTCACATAACATTCAGGCTTATCTTGCAACAGGGAAAAAAAAAGAATAATAATAGACAAAAAAGAATAATCGCATGCGTGAACATTCGGATGAGACAGGCATGCTCGGAAAAGAATCGTCCATCACTGAGTATTGAGGTTGACAAGGTTTCCTCATCCAGTATTTAATGAGCGAGCATGTGTATGTATGGGGAGGATGAAGGTGCCGAACAAAAATACAGTAAAAATCCCAATAGTGACTTCATAATGAAGTAGAAGCCCAAGCTTGGCAAATAAATGGAGAGAAATACAAGTAAACCGGCCAAGAAATTGGATCCAATAATTCCCCTTCTAGAGAGTACAAGGCAGAAGAAGCTCTTGAACCGGATCTGGATTCGATTAATCTTTTACACAGATACTGAACTCGAATTTGAAAAAGAAGTAAAAAGAATAAAATCTCTCAACATTATAGCATCGCAGAAAACAAGTTCAACCACACGGGAAGTTCCATTTCATCAGAACTACGCCGCTTCAGAATCACAACCAGCAGAAACGGCAGATACACGAACTCATACCAATTTCAAGAAACCAAAACCGACGGCCGCAAACAGAAAAAATCCAGAGCAAAACAATGGCATAGCATAAACAGTCACATACAGAAAGACAACAGCACAGCATTCGAAAGGTCTGCGCAAGCTGCAGAAGTGTACAAAAAAAAAACAATTCGCGGCCCCTGCCTCCAGGGGCTAACAAATCTAAACTCCATGGATGCAAAGAAGTCAGTGAGCACACAGCAGAACTGAAACATAATCTGAAAACAAAAACGTCGGCAGATCTGCGGCAAACACAAACCCCAATCGAAGGGGGGAAAAACAAGCAACATACAAGAATCAAGATCAAAAAGAAGAATTACCAGGAAAAGGAGAAGCAAAGAACGCAGTTGTTGAAGAGAATCAGAATTGATGAAGAGGAGAAGATGTGGTGGGAGGGGATTTATAGAAGGCCAGAAATAGGAATGGCGAAAAGGATAAAACTGACAGAAGCAGACCACGTCAGAAGGAGATTTTCCCCGCAACTGCTTACCAAGAAACCAAGGAGACGATAATTGTCGTCTTTGCGTTCCTCTAATTAAGGAATTAGCAAAACCAAAAACCAACTTAATTATTTCTCCACTTTTTTTTCCCTATTTAAATTGTTTTTTTTCTATTATTTAAATACTAATTTAGTTTCTTTATTTTCGCATTTGTACATTCAAGTCGTTAATTTTGGCCATTTACTTGTAAAAAGGATCAAAATGTTCTTCTACAAAGGGTCAATTTTATCCCTGTTCTCAAGATTTTAACAAAAATTGTATATACAATTAAAATTATTGAAGACAAATTTATGATTATATTTCAAGTAATTTAGCAAGTGAAGTGTTCTGTTAAAATTTCCATTGAAATAAAATGAGATGGTGAGGAAAATGAAGGGATAAAAATGATTGTTTTTTATAAGTACAAGGACAAAAGAAAAATGTTTGGATTTTGAAAAGTATCTAAACTAAAATGAACAATATATTGAAAATACGAAGATCAAAATAAATCAAAATTGAAAATTCAGTTACTAAAATAATATTTAAAGCTTCTTTTTCAAAGGTGATGTATATTGTAAAAGAAAAAATAAAAGATCTCAACAGCCTTAGATCAAAGTACAATAAAAACAAAAAGTCTATCGAAAAGACAATACGATCGAACAAGAAAAACAATCACACAAAACTAAAAATACAAACAAAAGCAACAAATTACAGACTTGAAACAGCTCCCAAGCAAATTCTATCAAAGTTAGGCTTTAAAAATAAATACTATCGTGCCAATGAAAGGACAAGCGTAAACCTCACTCTAAATAAATCTAAGATTTTTATTTCTTTGTTTAGTAAAATTTTAAATCTTATTAGTGTTAACTTCCAAATTATTTAAATTTTCAAAAACATGTTTTTTATGATATTATCACACATACAAAAATAGAAATTTGAATTACAATTTCTAAGAGGAAGGAAACCTTACTCATTTTAGCTCAAAAGACCAAAATAAGATCACATTCTTTTTTTTTTTTAAGTTTAAAATTTTTAATAAGATAATACATAGGATTAAGAAACTAAAATAGGCTTTAACTTTGCAATTTGATTTATTTTTATTATTTTCTCGCAATGAAATTGTTTTATAAGATAGAATAAAGAATTTGTTGGATGGTTGTCTGGTCGGTTTTTCAGACAATGATATCTATATACTCCACTTTACTATTTGCATTTATTTGGCTGCTATTCACTAACTCGATCATTTTCTATAATATTAATATGTTGGAATATTATCCAAAAAGTCTATGTTAAAAATTATTAAAAGGTTTTTCAAATTCAATATTATTTCTTACTTGAAGATAATTGGATAGTTTCTTGAAATAACATAAAGTAGAATAGTAGATGCTTGATTTTTAATGTGAAAACAAGTTATGACTTTAGTTTAGACATATTATTGAACATATTTGATAGACAAGATAAATAGAAATGAAAGAAATTTTATTTTCTTAAGCACATAGATCTTGGCAGTACCCTAGTAAAATCAAAATCTCTAATTATCAATCTTATTTTTTAAAAAATAATGACTAGAACAGCGTAATTATTTATTAAATTTTTTGTTGCTTATAATGGCTAAATTACAAAAATATCATTTGAACTTTTGTCATTTATTTAAAAAATACTCGTATTCTTTTCAAAGACAAGTTTCATAAACATTTAAAAAATATTCTTCGAGCAAATATCTATTAATATTATTTTGAACGGGATAGTTGACGTGATAGAATTTGGAATAATGTGACAATTAACGTCTCATTTCTCCCTAAAAGTATTATTTATCGATTGTCAAGAAAATTTGCTTATTCATTGTCCATCCAAGTTTGTTCTAATCCCCCTTTTAAAAATGACAACTTCTTTTGTATTTTTTTTTTTCAAACTTAATCCAAGCAAACTTTGACGTTAATTGTCACGTCAACTATTTGTTTAAAATATTACCGCATGTTTACTCAAACGATATTTTTAAAACATTTATAAACGGTCAAGAACAGTATTGAAATTTTTGGAAGGATAAATCTATTTTTGTAACAAAAGCCTTAGTTTGCTTCAAACGCTTTCAAATATAACATAACTATGACTCTTATTAATTGTTTTATTATACATGAATTTAAGTACAATTTAGATTATTTTATTTTGTAAAACTTGAAACTTTTTTATTTTGAGTTTATAATTGCAGAGTAAGATATCGAGTCATCGACCTTTAAGATGGTAATAAATACTTTCTTCACTGCCAAAATAAACAAACTCAGTGGTAATTGACATATATCTTCAATTAAGAGGTTGTAAGTTCGACTCCCCATCCTACTTATTGTACCACGGAAAAAAAATCTCACTAACATAGGTTCAAATTATCTAAAATTTCAAAATTTTCTACTATATTCGACAAGTATTCATGTAAATGCGTTTCCATTTAATTCTTCTATTTAACCAAAAACAAAAAAACAAAAACAAAAAAAAACAAAACATAAAGATTATGTAATAATTGAAAGTAATTGTCCACACGACGAATACGAGCTGGATTTTTTTTCCAATAATTGGAGGACGAAATTACGAAGTTACCCCCCCAACTCAACTTCAGCAAGTCTCATTCATGATCGGAAAAAGTCAAAAAAGGAAATGCAGAAAATAACATGGGAGTTGGGTGATTATAAATTAAATTAATAATTACTTAATTGGACGATAATAATCAAACTTCCTCTTCTGGCTTCAACCATTTACACCTCCACCGTTGACTTTATTCTTTGTAATATATTAAACTAATAATCTCAAACAAAGGCTAATTCATTTATTCCAACTTTGTATAATTCATTGTTTGCCACGTCACTAGCGTTTAAGAAGGGTGGGTAGTTTATAGAATAAAATAATATATCACTTGATAAATGTGTCAAATTGCGATCAGAATGACCAAATAATACAAAAATAAAAATAAAAATAAAAATCAAAGCAACCGTATTTTTATTAGCTAAATTTTTTTAATAAAATTTACGTATCTATTAAATGCAACAAAAATTAGATGCACAAATATGTTATATAAAGAATCTAGAGAGTGTCGACAATATTGTTGTAGGCACCAAACTTCGGACTCAGACCAAGATTCAATTCGACACTCCTGCGACCTGATTGTGCCACCATCTTTATCTGAACTACATATTAGAAGAGTGAAAACTGTCTACAGACCAACATGAGTCTTTCTACTTAATCCAAGATTACTCCAAGTCAAGTACGCTTAATTTTTGAGTTTTTATAATTGAATCACAAAAAAGGAAGATGCACCTTGTTGGTTAGTAAAGGTAGTAACTATCAATTCTTTAAGTATTTCTTAACCATACTTCCATGATCTCAAAATCTCTTTCATACAATCGTGGTACCGGTTCATTCATGTATTCATCGTCTAAACCATTTTTCACAGAAAAAGATAGAGATGAGTGAAAATAAATAGTGTAAAATAGGCCATCTCTATCTTGTGGTGTGGGTAGAAAGAATCTCAATTTCTTTACATGCTTCCCATTCCCTCATCATGGCATGGTATGGCATCCAACCCATCTCTTTCTTTTCCCACTCCCAAATCTCAAATATTCGGATAAGAAAGAACACCATTCCTTTGATCTATTTCTTTTGCGAACAATATTTAGGCATTGGTTAGTTAATATTTATTTTTTACGGATTGTTATTAAAGTTTTGATATATAGGAAAATAAATGTGGAAAAGGAGATATTTTTACGTTTTAAAAAATGAAGATTTTTCAAAGTTTTGAGAGGGACCGACATGCTGACTAATACGCACTATTGTTAAATTATAGGGTTCAACCCTGGACCGAGGTAGAAATGTAAAATTACATCCACTAATCAGTAATGAAAATTTGACCGTTGGTTACTTTTAAAAAAAAAATCTCATCTCAATTCTACTTTATTTATAAAAAATTTAATGGTATTGAATAAGATATTTATGGGTGAACGGACAATAAATACTACCAATAAGCACTTAAATGGGCACTCCACCCAGGGCCAATAAGACGCAACATGGCCCAACAATTCCCTCACAAAGTTGGTTTGTAAGCGCCTGAAAAAGACGAGCGATTTTGTAAAAATATCATTCAGGGGAATTACCACAAACACTTGGTGGGCACTCTGATTTTTACTCGAAACAACAGAGCCAAGCCAGCTTGTAATGTCGTTTGCCTAATTGGTTCGCACGAATCCGATTTCAGATGACAGAGACAAGCGATTCTGAGGATGCTCTTATTGAAAATTATTCAGAGGAATTACCACAAACACATGGTGGGCAGGGCAGATAAAAATAGAAACTAATAAGACACGTTCACGTTTTGTAACTTGTGGAAGCCACGAGAATGGTAATCTTAGAACGAACAAACATAACTCTACCTGGCTGCAATTCCGCGAACCTTGGACCTGGGATTTTTAGTTTCGTCTTCTCTGGGCGAAGAATTATGAGTGGAGGGGGAAAATAGGGCATCGATTTTAATTTTTGAGAGTCGAGATCGAGAAGAAAACGGCAGTGAGAAATTGACGTTAATGGAGGTCGGATTCGATGGAGATTGGGTGGGACTTGGGAGTGGGAGTGGAGTGGAGGTCGTGGGTCGAAGTAGACGGCGTATGGCGTGGCTGTGGGAGAGTATAATTCCGAAGGGCGAAGGGGCCCAGCCCGGCCAAATTGCAGCGATTGCCATTGATGGAGCTCACTATTAGCTAGGGCTTTCTCCGTGGCCCCATTCCTCCGACAGTGACGCGTCCTTCAACTTTTCCACCAATGGACATTGGACTTGTACGCATCACTCCTAACTCCTAATTTTGCTGCCCTTAAATTATATAAGTTTGTTTTGAATTTTTAGGTCGCAATTAAAAATTTCGTACTTTTCTATTTATTTTAAAAAAAGAATTTTATCCCCAGTAAATTTTAATTATTCCAATTTTGTATTTAATAAATTTAAAACAAAACCATGAAACTTTAGATTTTTTTTTTTATAACATGTAAGGGAAGGGATTCGATCTCACAACCCCTTGGTTGGACTGGAGGTATATTCCAACTACTGTTAAGCTATGTTCGTTTTGGCCATGAAACTTTAGATACTTGGTACTTTTAAAATTTCAGAGACTCATTAAGTACTTTTTAAAATTTTAATAAATTAATTTAGCGGTAATTGACACCGATATTTGACATAAAATAATTTTAAAAATTAATTTTCATATGAAATTTATACTTTATTCTTGATTTAAAACTAATAAAGTATTATAAAATATATTTTTATTTCTTTTTTCAATTGGAAAAAAACCAGAAATTGTTACCGAAAAAAAAAAGAGAAACAAA